GATTGACAGCCGCGACAGCCGCGTTTCAACACAGACCCGCCCTCGCTAGCTGTCAATCATAGTCAGCGCGGACCGGCGCGGTCATTGTTGATATGCTGGAGCACTGTCTATGAGCAGAATGGCGTCTAAGCGATTGTGGTGTTCTGTTCTTGGGTGCAATAACGAACACAGTCATTTTAATGTTCCTAAATCCGAACCGATGAAGACGCAGTGGCTGAGTTTGTTTTCGAAGGGAATATTCCCCACGAGCAATGTCAATGCTCTCATGTTTGCCGAATCATTTCTCAGTGGACTGCTTTATAAACGAGGATCAGTGTAAAGCTGGTTTTGGTGAGAAGCAGCTCCTGAAGAAAGGATCGGTAGCAGATATTCGTGTTCCTGCTGAACCTCCAAAAGAACTGAAGTGAGTGTAACGTTTTATTAAACTTTATATTACTATTTATATTAATCCTTGTAAATCGCTAGCTGCATGCTTCACAATGAATGCGTCTAAGGTTTACACTCAGGGTACATTACGGCATGTTTTTTTTATGTATGACGTTCTCAATATAATGCATAATCCCACGTTTATACTGAACAACGCGTTATGGCTATTGTGTTATTGTGTTACAAACGGTGTATGCGCAGAACAGAGAGGCGGGGTGAGCAAAGCTCATTATCATTTAAAGTCATATGCACTGAAACGGCGTGCTGAAAACAGAGCTGTTTTTGACCAGGTAAAATAAGTGTTTTCTTACAATACTAATGAGAATTTTTAATTAAAGTATATTACAAACTTTTAATTTAGACCCTAAAGAATCATATTAGCTTGTACAAAAATGGCATTATATGACCCCTTTAAGAATGAACTCTGCACCAACCTTTTCCTTGCTGAATAAGGAAAGCACCTCTTTAATCTAAAATAAAAACCTAACTTAGGTCTGAGTTCTTTTAAAAGGCTCTCAATATGGACCCCAAAAGACAATTTATCATCAATGCAAATACCTAGGTATTTGTAAGAAGTCACTCTCTCTATTGGAGTACCACTTTGTGTTAAAATAGTGAAATCCATAGGAGAATGTGAACGTGTAAATGCCCCAAAATGCTTATTTTTACATAATTAGGAAGCTAATTATGCCCCAAAAAATGCTAGGTAGGCAGTTTACTAGGTTTTGGGAACAATATGATGTCCAAAAACGCTGGATTTGTGTAGTTCCTGCAATGCTTAAATATGTTGTCTAATTAGGCAGCTCAATAAGTTAACACAACATGGCTATGATTTCCAAAAATGCGGTCCAAGTACCGTATTGTCTGGAATATGTCACTTTTTTTAATATTATCTGAAACATTCTGCAATTTATATTCTAAAGTGACTAATATAATGCAATTAATGTCAAGCATGTGCAATTTGGACTTTGCAATTTTAAAGAACCCTTTAAGGTTCTGTATATGGAGAAATGTCTTAAACGATTTGCATAGTATGTTCATGTTTAACTGGTTATTTCCATTGTTTCCTAACGATAAATCCATTTAATTAATACAATTCTGTTAAATTTAAAATGAATTAAAACAAATTCCATAAAATGATCCCATGATGGGAAACCCTAAAATGTTCTATATATGAAGCGCCTGACCGAACCCTTTAAGGTAGGAACCTTTTCTTCTAAGAGAGTAGGTTTTGAGATGCCATGCCTAATTGCCAATAGTGCCCAAAATGCTAAGGGTGCGGTCATGAAACACTATGATCCTATAATGCTCAAATATGCTGTCCAATTAGGCAGCTCAATAGATTTTGAAACACTTTTTATGATTTTAAAAAACGATGTCTAAATAGGCAGCTCACTAGGTATTGAGGACATATCTTTCTCTTGCGTTTATTTTATCTCCATCTCTCACTCCAACACTTTAAACTCATACGTATCTCATAGACCTATTTACCACAGAGGAGTCTGATTCAGTCAGACAGCTCTGAGTGTGTGTAATGAAACTATTGCTATTGTCCGCTGAGATGTGTAATAATTCAGTTTTGGAAGCATGCTTGCATATATATTAAAATTAAGCCTGGGGTTTAGACTGTGCTGCACAAATCTTCAAAATGTCACAGCTTACATTTTTCTGACCTCATCTTCCTTACTGCATTCATTACCCATGATTCTCTCTCTCTCTCTCTCTCTCTCTCTCTCTCTCTCTCTCTCTCTCTCTCTCTCTCTCTCTCTCTCTCTCTCTCTCTCTCTCTCTCTCTCTCTCTCTCTCTCTCTCTCTCTCTCTCTCTCTCTCTCTCTCTCTCTCTCTCAACCTAATTGTCGCTCTCAATCTCTTGCATACCAAGGAAAGATTCTTAGCCCCCTGCACGTGACTTAGAACGTGCGATACACCTAAAACGTGTACATAAACTCACAATCCTAGGCGCAAATCTTAACATTACTTTGGAAAGCATGAGCTTTCAAGAGCAGCCCTGCAATCCGGTCCAAAGTTGGCTTTGCCAAACACCTCTTCAGATTAGAATTCTCTCTCTCTCTTTCAAGCATTAAATGTTGCTTCGCTCATTTCATACAATTTACCAGCAAATAAAGACATGCATAATACAAGCTTTGAAAAGATGTCAAACGGACTTAGGGCCACTTACTGAGTTGCTCTTTCCATCTGAAAGGGAGAAAGAGGGCTCTTTCAACTTCAGAGAGGGGGCTTTGAGAGCGTCCCACACTGCTCTCTGTCCCCTGATACGGAAACACGCCAGGGAGGAGAAGACTACTGTATGCTGAGAGACACAGAGGCTAAAGCAGACTAATCCATATAACAGGGCTGAAATTACACTGATAGGATTCTGCTTATGGGGTTGCTTAATAAATATTACTTTATCAAGTACAATGATAGGTTTTATAAAGGGATATCATGCTTTTATTCCTCTTACATAGGCAATTCAAACAATGGAGTGTCAACAGACAAAGAGTCTGTTAAGTGATTAAAAAGTGTTCCCAAAAAATAACTGCAAATTGTTATTTGTGCATGTAATTATTATTATCATAAATAATTTTAATTATTTATTAACATCGGTGCCTTTTACCATACAGCTGTTGCTACTATAATGAAACAAGCTGGTCATGGTACTCAATACCATGGTAAAACAAAGTTGATGTGCCTTATGCTTTATTTTATTTAGTTTATGCAAACATAAACATTCTGTCCACATTTACCCACGTTCATGTCATTCCAATCTTACATGACTTACTTTCTTCTGTGAAACACAAAAGAAGATATTTGTAAAAAATGTCTCAGTGTTTTGTACATACAGTCGTCAATGGGGTCTAATTTCATTTGGATGAAAATGTTCTTCAAATATCTTCTTTTGTGTCATACAGGTTTTGAACAACATGAGGGTGAGTAAATGATGACAGAAGTTTCGTGAACTATCCCCTTAAGTTAAAAATGGAACAATCCTCTACAGGTATGGAAGTTTGAACATGGAGTTTCTTTCATGGAGAAACAGCTAAATCTAACAGACTCTCTGAATCTTTATTCTAGGATGTGAGGATGGGGGATGGGGGGAGTATGGGGTTTGGGCACCTTGAGATTGTGCTATCAAATAAAGCTCAGAGGGTTACAAAAACATGCCTCTGGCTTTAAAATGCCGTTTCACACAAAACTCTCTCTCTCACACACACACACACACACACACACACACACACACACACACTGTCTACCTGGCATGTCTGCCTGGCAGGAGTGGATTAGAAAAAAAGTGTTTCCAAAACACATGCTGATGATCGTTGAAGGAGAGTTTCAAGCCTTTACAAACACAGAGGCTCAGTGTTTAACCTTGTGAATAGCGTGACAGTTCTGAGCACTTGAAACTAAAATATAATTACTTGCACAACACACACATGCTAACACACAGTATGCACTCATATATGTATCAAATAAACACATTTTAAGTGAATATCAAAATGGGAGCCCCTCATTAGTTGTAATGCTAGGCCAGGTGTAGCATACAGCTAAGATAACTTTACATTTGTCAACCATCCTGCCTCCACTGCCATTGCGTGTTTCTTACATTAATAATGAATATATGCCTGCAACAATGCCCAAGCACCCTGAGGGATATCATGAGAGAAGAGCCAGACTCCATCTCTTTACACTGTGGTCTTGAACTAACAGGACAGGAGACAAGACACTGTATGTTCAAATACTAATAGTCTGTGGATACTATTCATGCAGTTCTGACACAGAACACAGTGTTGCTGCAGCTGAACTAGTAAAGGATGGCACTAGCAAGGTAAGGGTTTCAATAGCCAGGGGATACAAATACAGTGATAAAAAGTGTAGCTTGAATGGACATTAAGTTTGTTTGGAAAAAAGCCAGCTGGGTACTCTCCTCAAAAAATAAATAAATAAATAAATAAACCAGTCTGAGCTGGGTTGCTGTTCTTCTAGCCTGGTCAAGCTGGTTAGTTGGCCAGGCTGGGAGACCGGCTAGACCATGGGTGTCCAAAGCTGCTCCTGGAAGGCAACTATACTGAATTTAGCTCCAATCTTTATTAAACATACTTGAACAAGATAAATGAGGTCTTCAGGATTAATAAAAACTTCCAGGAAAAAGCATTGGCCAAGTTGGAGCTAGAAATCTGCAGGACACTGGCCCTCCAGGAGCAGGATTGGACACCCCTTGGCTAGACTAGCTGAAGACCAGTTTGGCCAGGCTGGGTGACCAACAAACCAGCTTAGACTGGTTTAAGTTTTTTTTTTTTTTTCAGCAGGGTAAATGTAATGCAAATAATAGGTAGAACAACACCATAAGCGTATCCCTCTGGAGCAATTTGTGTCTAATGCCTTGCTTAGGGGTAAAATGGTGATGGAATTGAACAAACAATCTTACAGTTCCTGAGCCTTAACCACTACACCACACCAACCCAATTCAAGCAGGTTTACCAGATCTCCAAGCTGAAACCTTCATGTCAAGTAAGACTTTAAGTATCAAACAATTATTCAGGAATAACACAACTCTGAAGAAAGTGTATACTTACGATCTAGGCCATTGATGTAGCGCATGGTGATCTCACAGTGGCCCCACACTGCACTGACAATGGGGTACAGCTTTTTGCCCTTAAGGCCTCTGAAGGCCACTCCGAGATACTGTCCATCAACCATGAAGCTCAGTGTGCCCTCATCCATGTCCAGCACCACCATCAAGGCATCCGGCAGTACAAAGGCCTCCTCTGGCTCCAGGAAACTTGGGTATGTTGGTGCAGAAGAAGCCGGACGGTTCTTACTGTTGTGGTAGAGCTTGTTACGTCCCAGGTCCCAGCCCCAGGACTCACCATCACTGCCAACTAATGATGTGTAGCCCACTGAGTGCAACGGGGCGTCTGCCGTGGCCACACCCACCACTGCGTGTGTGCCTCGTTGCCTAGCAGGCCAATGGATCCTCCAAACATGGAGTCCTCGCGTGTATCCTACTCGTCCACGTATGCCATCGGTACTTTGAGCAACAGGGTGCCGATGGAAGGTGAGTTTGTCGTCGTCCTTAATGAAAATGTTAAGGGAGCGGTCATCCGAGTTCCAGGCATGTCGGAGCTGCTGCTCATTTGGAGCGGGGGGCATGTCCAGGAGTAGGTCCAGTCGGGCTGGCTTGAAGAAATCCGGCCCTCTCAGTTCCCTCCTCAGGGGCCTGAAGGACGGCTCCCCACGCGCATCTACGGATTTGATGCTCCCTGAGATCTTCTGGCCCATGGCTTGACTGGTTGGAAAGGGGAAGTGAGGAGGGGAAAGGAAAGGGGGGGCACGACGCAGGGGCTGGGTTTCCGGGGTCCGCCGTTACCTCATCAAAGCGCCAAGACGTCAGCCCGAGGCCCCCAAACTCACGTCACCGTCTGGCAGTGGCGAAAGTGCCAGCCTTACTGAAGCCCTAGGAGAAAACACACCAAACACACCATGTCATTAAAACAGTAATATCAGAGAGACCAAAGAGCCTGCAGGTAGGTCATATGAGTGATTCTAGAACTACTAAGTGTGAATCTCAAAGGTGTTGAGGATAAAAATGAAAACAGAAATAAAGGAACAGCATAAATAAGACAAGAAGATAAGCTGAAAAAAAGGATCAGGGATCTGCAGCTAACTGCGGCCTGACAGCCTGTGAGAGACCGCCATGGGGAAGGATGTAATAATGATGGCCGCAGGTGAGAACGAGACACCTTCTGTGTGACATACAGAAACACGGAACATGCACATATACACACATGACAAGTCATGTCACCTCTAGCTCAAAAACAGCCCAGCTTATGTCAACACAGACCCACACATATTGCATTTTATAAATCTTATAAATGGTATTCATTCAAAACAGATATAGCCTCTACTACAAACAAACCATCTGTAAATGGAAGGACCCTATCTACTCTCTGACATTTCTAGAGATTCAATCACTTAGCGGATGTATTTTAATAAGGCACATTTTTTTAAAAAGAGGCAATAAATAACTTGAAGAAAATTGGAGTCGTGCTTGGCTATGCAAAACCTGCCACAATACTAAGGTGTTGGTGACTGCCAGAGCATTGCTAAGTTATCTTGACTTAAGTTATTTTTCTTTGCCGTTGCTGGGGTCTTGTGTGTGGTTTCTATGGTGTTGCTTGGTGGTTGCAAGCTAGCTCAAGTCAAAAGAGCCCTATATCCCAATGATATTCTCATCTCTAAATATGGGTCAGGAGTTCAATGCCTATTGGGATGTCAATTGGATTATTTTGGTAATTTGTCTGAATGTTTAGAAAAGTAGTTATTTGTCTACTCTCATCGAGATGCACCCTTAGAGGCATTATTAGTGTCTAACACAAATGACACGGGACAAGTTAAGAGCTGAAGTTTAATACTTTAGGTTCAGGTTTGTTTAAATCAACAACCCTAAGTATAGCAATAGAAAAAAAAAATGGAAGCATGCCAAAATAAAGCATTATTTTTTTCCAGGTTCCTGGGTGAAAGAGAAAGAAAAAGAGAACAAAAGAGAGAGATTCAGTTCGCATCAGCCTCAATGTCACAAAAATACCTCCACATTAAGAGCCTGCTGGAGCCTGGAGATTCGATACTGATGTATGAAACTCTAGCAGGAACTTCCTGCTACAGTAAGTGGCACATCGTTTTTTCCTGGAATAATAAAGTCACATCCCAGGAAGGAGCTCTACAAAAAATACAGTTGGGGGACGTTTACATAAAATGTGTTATTGTGTTCGCAGCATCTGTGCTGTTTGCGAAGTATCTGAAAGATGCTAAGTATCTCACTGCTTTTTCAGAAGCATGAGTGCAGCGTTTCTAAGATGACGTCAAGAAGGTAAACTTTTAAAAACAAAGCATAATTATAAACAGCAGTATTTCACTATTTAAAAAAATAATACAGCGATAGTTCGAGGAAATTAACTGAGTGAATATTAAAATAAATCAGTGAATTTAATAACTTTCAATGAATATGAACATTCTAAACAAACTGATTCACTAAAATGAATCGAATAAGAGACAGAAGAGTATGTTTGAGTATTATTACCTCAGAAGAACTGTAGATTGTTGGGCGGTTTGCGTGATACAGTGTGACATAAAACATTGTTGTGTGATGTTACACTACTACTAGTTTCAGTACAGATCATTACTGGACAAGCTACACAATACTATGAAAACAGCTCAGCTACACTTCTTAAATATGCAGTTTTGTTAGCAGCTTTTAGTTACTCCCCAGCAGTACTGGACAACATATCCACACTCTGTCAGACGAACGGCCATCAGACAACCCAAGCACTTAGGTCACTAACACGAGGGAAAAAGGTCACACATACTGTACTGCACACAAAAACACCTCAGACTAACTCAATACACATTAAGGTCACAGAGTAAGAGAGACAGGAAAAGAGAGAGCTGAATTCAGACGACAGGAAGGAGGGTGGCCAGACAGCCAGACAAGTCAGTGCCCGGATTCCTGAGTAAGTGTTACTAATATTAAAGGAAAAATAAATGAGGTCATGTCATGAATGATAGAATGGGAATGTATGTGTGTGTGTGTGTGAGAGAGAGAATGAATGAAAGAGAGAGGCAGCTGCCCTAACATGCCACTCACAGCTATCATAACGTGTGGTAAGAGTCAAGGTGTTAGGTTTTCTGTATCGTATTTCAGAGCTGGAGAGTCACCCGTGGCAGGCAAAAAGGGTTTTAAAGACTTGCTGCCGTGGAGAGCCACAATAATGCGTTTCATTCCGGTTGTGTTTGGTTCGCACACGTCAGTTTAACTAACATTCCCTCACTCAAACCGCTGTAGTCACTAATAACTGTAATACACACCGATGCAAACATAATTACGCTGTTAGTCTGGAAGTTGTAGACAGACATTTAAACACTATTCTCACATTAAGTAATTACATGAAGGCGTGTAAAACAAGGTCTGAGAAAAAGAAACGTCTGAGGAAAACAAAAAAAGACACTGATGAGACAACAAAATGCTTTTTGCAGATCAATTAATTCCAGATCAAGTCTGAAAATGTATAAAACTGATACTGCATAAGGATGCTTCAAAAAAGTCCAATTCATGCCCCATATCATGACATATTTCTATATGTATGTTTACATAAAACAGAGTAGTATACCTCTTGTATTGACTATCACCCAAAAGAGTAGTTTGATTTTTAACTTCAACTGTACAAGCTTACTGGATGGATGGATGGACGGACAGATAGATAGATGACAGACAGACAATCAGCTGGTCTGTTTCACTGCGTCACAGCAGAGTGTCTGAGTCACACTGTAAGACGGTGACTGCATGGCATGACTGTACCATGTCTTTGGGCGTTACACTGCTGATATAAAATGCCAAAGTCAAGCTGAGAAGTGAAAAAAACGTGCACTACATCAATTACACTCACTCTCCTCAGGGGAAATGATCCCGAACCATATGAGACACGACTAATGTAACTATAACAACCTCATTCTAATGGACCACTGATGTGCTGTCTCCATCTGCTTAGCCAAGCGAGACCAGACTACATATAAAAGTGGTCTGCCAGGGCCGTACATCTCCACATGGGAAAATGTCCATCTGCGCTGACTTATCTATTAGAAAAACAAAAGCACTCTGCTGGTGAGCGTGTCGCTGGGATGGGGCTGTTATGGCTATAAGTCAAAAAGAAGAAAAGTAAAAGTCAAAACAACCCTGGCATAATTGTGCCCTATGGCTCTTCTGCGCTTGTGCTGCAGTGTAATGTCTTCAATCAAGCCAAACGTGTCTTTTTTTCTGTGCTTAGAAGTCGTTTTAGGTTATTGGAATAAAGATGATGAAGAATAAGAGGGAACTGGCACATTTCGTCGGATTTCTTTTTTTGACACGGCCTTCAATCTGCAACATTTTTGGGTAATAAACATCTTCCTCAATTTGCCATTCCACACTCAAGGCTCCATTTATTTTTCTGGTCCCATCTTAAAAATAACATTCTTTGTTTTCAGGTCCGCGTAATTGAATTTTCCACCCCTATGTTCCGTGTTTGGCGGACGCCCCAGGAATCAAGTGCTTGTTATAGCTGTTCTGCATGACTAGAAGAATGATAATATCGCAGACCCTAGGCTGCCCACTTAAAAGGCCTGAATGCTGTTTTATACAACATTTATGTCTGTCCAGACAATCTGATTTGCCGAGAGTTTTGCATCTTGGGGGGCATTTTCACTTGGAGTAAAACCTCATGAAATGGCCAAGAGGAAATATACATAATAATAATATAAATATATATTTGACTTTGCAAAACTGACAAAATAATACATCACAAAAATCACAGTGTTGAAATGTGATAACACAATCCCTCTCCTCCCAATTGCTTAAATAATACACATCTGAATCTGTTGTCGGCCCTATGTGACGCATTTCTGTGTGTTCACGCTGTTTAGTCTACTGGCCTTTAGTGTGTACATCCTCATCTAAATTTGTTTATGCTTCAGCACCCGTCAGACCCTCAGCAGGGCCTCTTTCTCGCACGCTCTGTGGCACACGAGGGCTTGCGTTTTCCTTCAGGATGGTGGGGGGTCTGTGATAAAGAGAGCGCCTGGTGCCTGGTCCCTCGCCTGTGTTACCCTGGTCACCAGAGATGTAATGGACATCCACACCTCTAGCCACCAGTGGCTTTGATGAGTGGGAACAAACATTCACCATCTGTTGTTTATCTTTGCATCCTCTCTCTCTCCATTTCATCAGGAACATCTCTCTTTCCTGTGGCTAGTGTCATTCATTCTCACACTTTGTCTCTTTTTTTCTTAACTCACCTCCCACCTAGAAAATCTAGTAAAAAACATTTTTAAAAGTGTTTAAAAAATATGGGATTGACTCTCTTTTGGAGCCTGTTGTTAGCGGCCAGTCGATGAGTTGCAGTTAAATCACTTACGTCTTGGATTCAAGAGAGACGCTGCTTGGTTTCAACTAGGCCTGGGAGATATGACCAAAATAAATATTTCTTATCAGTCGATATCGATAATTATCACAATAAATGTAAACTCTTTATTTCTTTCAGGTTTAAAGGCATATTTTTGTTCCTGATTGAAAGTTGTAGAAACCAGGTAATTGTGGTTTTATCATCAGACTACTCTTTGTCATCAGAGCATAACAAACACTTGCCAAACAGGTGAACATTTTACAAATTAAAATGACTTTTTGTCTCTTAGAAATGCACATTTGACAGGAGCTTGAGTTTACAGTAGCAGGATATTGGGATGCAGATGTAAATTTAAGTTAATTAACAAACATTTTAACAACCTCTTTTGTATAGGGTGAAATTTAAATATTCTGACTGTTTGAGTTAGGATTAAAAATTAACCATTGGTCTTCCATAGTATTTAGATCATGTAAAACGTTGATCTGTTATTTGTTGTGAAAAACAGTAGCATAAAGACATTTAG